AAGAAGTGAAAGCAATCAATCCCAAAAAAGTGTTTTTAAAAAATGTCATGTTTGCCACAAATGCAAATTTTTGGATGCATGAGTTAGGACAATAGGACTCCAACTGGCTGCTCACAAGAGGAAGGATTCGGTCCTCTGTCATGTTAATAGTGACATCAACAACCTGAATAAAAGCCAAAAATTCAAGTTGATTCTGCAGTTTAAGGCCATTGTTCTCCCATGTGGTTTAGCCTGTAAGATTTAGCCTACATATAGTGTTTTGCCAGGTTTTATATAATTTTTCACATCATACAGTGCAATTCTTGATATGTTAATGTATTTTTATGTATAAAAGCCCTTTGTAATTGACAAGGATTTATACTGACATAGCTAAAACAACCTACAATCTAAAGGCATCAGAGATATTGGAAATACATATGCAAAATGATGGCTGCCAATATTGTTCTCTTCTTCTTTTGGAGCCCACTGTAAGAACAAATTAGGTGAAACCTGCTAATAATATGCAACAATCTCCATCTCAGATATTAAAGGAATGATAGCACTGGACTTAGACTCTGGATAAGCAAAGCTGTGACAAGAATACGGGATATTCCAGAGGGCTCATTCCTGGCCTGACCCTTCCAGATCCTGATGAGACTCTCAGACCTTTCTTCATTCCATACTCTGATCCTGGTTGCTATTCTGTAGAGCTGCAGAAATATTGTACATTCGTTGTTTGGTAACAGGAGCTCTCCCAAGCATCCAAGGCACAGAAACTTGATTCTTGACACAAATCCACGAAACTAACCTTTCTCTCTCTCTTTTTCTTTTTTTTCTTTTTTTGCCCATTATGGTATTAGAACCACAGTCACGTACAGAACATGACATGTTAAGTGACTGGGGAATCGTAAATTGGGCGTTTTGACTTGAACAAATACTAAGCATTGTCATACCAAACTGATTATTATTTTAAAATACTGTCCCAGGCTATAACTGGCTTTGTGTACAATAGCAATACAGGGTGTAGTTACAGACACAATTTCCTGTGCTTAGGTTTCGAAATTATTATTTAAGAACCCCGTAACATTTGCCCAGTGCACCAGCGCAATTCCCCTATTAGATAATTTTCTATCCTTGTGAGGGCAATTTTGCTTGCGCAATGCCGCCAGAGCTTTCAGGAAGGGAGAGACAAGCAATTGTGACAATAAAATTTGCATCAGCTCCCACCCAACCTCTCCCAGAACCAAAATACCATTTGTCGCATTCAAAACCTTTTCACACCAGAAGGGAAGGTGTTTCTGAACTGGAAAGTCATTGTGATCTCCACAGGGTTGCATCCTCCGCGCTGACTTTTGCCCCTGAGGTTCCCATGAGAAACACCAAACAGCAATTGTGGAGTTCCAAATAGCTTTGCATCAAAGACTTGGTGGATTGCATGACCCAGCATCCAGGCATGAAACCCCAAATCAATCCAGATTAGATTCAAAAGCTGAAGCAGAAATTTTGCTGTTTGTAGCTGACGAGTTTGAGGGGGTTGACCCTTGTAAAAGCAATGTAAATGCACCCTTGCAAAAAACATTTCAGATCTAACATTATCATCAGTTTCTGGAAAAATGAAGGTGCTAAGCCTGCCACACTGTAGTCATGTAGCACCTCTCCCAGAATGATTGGTTTTTAAGGGCTAAAAAGAATGTATTGTTCCTGTGTTGGAACCAGGATAAGGGGTGGGGAGAGAGAGAGGATAGTAATGAAAATGTATGTAATATCTAGATTTGCAGGAAGAAAAAACATAGACTGAGAGACTTGTGTTGGATGTCATCATTGGTCATTCAGAAAAAATGCTACTACTACTTCAGACTGTCACAAAATCAATGGACACAAATCATAGTGGAGAAGTCTGTACCAGTTTCTACGGCCATGTGGCAATTTAGTGATGAAACATGAAAACGTCTTCAACAGCATGAGGTCTCTGCCTAAACTGTTCACAACCTCTGCCTTGCTCCTGCAGGACACCAGGACCAGGTGCTGGGATTCTTCAACATGAAGCTACTATTTTGCTTCTCTGAATAAAGGACAAACAAGAGTGAATTCCTGCACAGACTTTCACTCACTGCTTGATATGAAGATGCTTGTGCATGTACCTTGTCTCACTAGGATACAGCCTGAGCTGAGCAGTGTGTGCTATGGCAGCCTCATATTACCTAGAGGCCTCTCAACCTATCCGTTAGCTGGTATGATGGGACACCATGTTGTATCTGAAGCTTTGCTATGCTAGGGGATCATGCCTCAGGTCATTGCAATGCTGTCTGTCACTGCTTACATGCTGCTTAATGCCTAGATGCCCCAGCATTAGCAAGGCAGAGGATGGTGCAGGCACTCTGCTGTGTCCTTGTATATGCACTGCAAATATAAAAGAGAGCAGAGATAACGGAAAGGAAATCTCCTCTAGTAGTAGCAGAGTGACTCTTACTCACTCCTATTTACCCTTCCCGAAAAAACTGCTCCCAAAAACCCCTTGCCTCCGTTACACTGAGTTTGGCCTTTTCTTTTGATGTGGAGCACAGCCTCACCTTGCACCTCTACTTTCCTTCCACACGCTGCACGCAAGCTCGCCTGTATCACAGCAATGGTGAAGGGAGGACCCAAGTATGGGAGACACTTCTGAAGAGGGCAACAGCCTGCTTCTGCTCTGCGCTCAGCCTGGGAATCACGGGGCTGAGCTGCTGCACGTGTGTAGTGGAAACCACTGCATCTCTACAGCCCCTGCAATTCTCTCCTTGGCAGCCCGCAAAATTCCACTGAGGAAAAAGAAATGGGGAGGGGGAAGAAGGAGTCAGAAAAACTATTGTGTTCCCAGGGGAAAAAAAATAAACAGCCCTATTTAGCTTATCCAGCTTTGCTAATGTCAATCACTTTTCTCATTTTAAACAGGAAAGACACCACTTTAGTCCACCTGTTCCATTATTTATCATGCTATGCATTTCTCATGAATTGTCACTCATGCAAAACCTGTACATCGTAAGGGGACACCCTAATATTTTTAATGACCTTAAGCAAAGTGATTGACATTAGACACCAGTGTCAGATGTTCTGGTGACGCAACATGTTCTCCTAGCAGCAGGAAAGCTTCCTGCCGTGATTATGTTAGGGCTATGGAAGTGCTAAAATGTGTTGTCAGCTTTCCTCTGATGCAAGTGATTTTATTATAGCGTCTGGTAACCACGGAGTGTGGCAACGCAAATACTGACTCCAAACATCCCCTCCCATACATATAGCTTGCTCTATTTAAAACACGAAGTGCACTTTGCAAATCCAGGGATAAGTTATGGATGTAACAAGCTTAAACCATGGAGGGCAGAGGAAAAGGCGGCACCTAAGCTGGAATGTCTGGGTGATTGCAGCAGGAGAAGCATACGGCTCCGGGATGACCTGCAGAAGGCTATCCCCTGCGGCACCTGTTTGGCAGGTGTGCTCTGCAGCAGCATCGCCACAGCCGTCATGGATGCCAGAGGCTCCAGAGGGCAAAGAGGAGGCACGCTAGCACAGGTCTTGCTCAGTGTAGCGGTGGAGAGAAAAAAAATCACATCCAGCCCTTTTGACTCTGGAGAAAGTAAGAGGAGGCAGGGGAAGAGAGACAGAGAGAGAAAGAGAGAAAGAAACAGGACTCCGTGCAGCCCCTCTGCCTTCTGACACCCTCATACATGCTGGGGTGGAAGTCTGTGACTTGGCTCAGCACCACTTGTCCTTCAAGACATAGATGAAGAAATAATGTTCTGGTTTGCTTCAATTTGGGACCAGCCCCTCAATTACTCATTACTTGAGAAAAGCTGGAAGACCTCTAGAACACAAGAGTTACAGAATCAAACATCCCAGATGCATACGGGGGACACCTGGCACTTGCTTTTCATAAAGATTCATAATCCCAAAGCTCATTCAGCCAACACTTACTACACAGATGATTTTGCTTCCACAAGTAATTATTAATAGTTGTGTCTAAAACCGACTCTGCCAGTAAGTGTCTGCAGAACCGACCATTTTGATTTTTCAATTTCCCTTGCAAGAGGGATGGGCTGTCAAACCAAAATCCATAGTCTAGAGATTTTTGGAAGAGATCAGCAGTATATATGTTCACAGTTATTGTCACAGGTCTTGTTCTACAAAAATAGAATCATAAAGCAGTCAAAGTTCAAGATACAAGCTATCTTGATAGCAATAAAAAAAGATTTTCTAAAAGTCTAGCAGCACTGAACATTATTTTAATGAAATTTACTTTTTAATTTTATAGCAAAATAATCAAAGGTGCTAAACCCGACCACTTTAATTTACAAAAAAAAGACTCATGTTTTAAGCTATAATCATACCTCGTTATTTAGGTTAGACAATATAATTATACATTTCTATGTATTTCTATTCAATAGTAAAACAAAATTAATATTAGTTGGTTTAAAAAAGGGGGAAAGTACCACAGATGTTGGGAGGGGAAAGTTACATAAAATATAAGAATCAGCTTATTGAGGAATCTCCAGCGTGTTTGGTTGTTATTGCCTTTTTTTTTTTTCCTTTTGAGCTACAGTTTAAGTCACAGACAATCTGGCCATAAGCTTGTAGTCACTTCAAACGCTATGACTTCTCCCTTGGTCAAACGTCACACTGTGTATTTTAAGGAGATCTCTGGCATTTCAAGCCAGTTTAGATTATTTTCTTAGTTCTCACAAGTTCCCTTTCCGACATGATCAGCATGTTGGAGAATGCAGTTATGATGATTGCAGTTATGATGACACTGTTTTCTGTAAAGGAAAAGTGTTTTTTTCCTCCGTCTTGGAAAGAATCACTACAAAGACTGCAGTAAGAAAAATGTTAAAAACACTCGCAGAGTTTTTAAGAGTTATTTCTTAATCCATTCCATTTTCATTTCAGTTCATTTCCAAAGTTAAATTAAAACCTGCAATCTCTCTCACTGATAAATAGTCAAGTCGACTTACAAAGGTTCTGTCTTCTGTCCGGCTTTCTCCTGGTTGTCTTTAACCAAACAAGGTTCGCTGATTTGCCACAAGCGCTGTCTGGCTCTCCCGCCTCTTTGCTTTCTTGTTTTGTTGCCTGATTTTCCAGCATACTGCACTAGAAGCCAGCAAAAGCAGTCCTGATGATAAGAGGACTAAGCCAAACACTGAGATGATTGATCCATGGGAATTGAAGCTGTATGCCACAGCAGTAACCACAATGCCGGCTATGAGGATAACCACACCGAAGGGAATGGTACAGCGGTAACAGGAGAGTTCGGCTCCCCCTGTTGCTGCAGTCAGCTGGCATTCACTGACAAGGGGGATGGTGGTTATCACACAGTCATTGTTATTACTCTTCTCCGTGGTTACAGAATCAGGATGCTTTGGGGCACCCAGGATCTCTTTAATAGGTTCGTTTGTCATCTTGATTATCTTGACTTCATCAATTCTTAGGCTAGAGCAGGCTCTGCTGAACACGCATTGCACTGTGGAGAGAAGAGCATGAGTTCAACAAAGAAGCGTTACCGTTATGTGACAAATAGGTGACACAGAAGTATCCCACTCAGGATCGCAAGCAAGCAGACACTCTGACCCCACAAGGATTAATGCACAAGCTTAATCGTAACACTACTGATTGTGGAGGATCTCAATCAATTCTTATGATAGTCATCAGCATGTGCAAAAGTGCTAGAAAGAACAGAATCACAGACCAACACAGACGCTGACCTTAAAGTGTTGTCGGCCAAATCCCACTTTAAGTTACATCCTAAAGTCAGTATTTCTGGATGAAATTTAGATTTCAATGGCATTACATCTTCTGACGAGGAGGTGAAGTTCACGTTAAAAATTCTACTCTTGCTCACACACTTTTTCACATTGTTTCTTTATATATACACCTATACATACACATTAGACAGATCTGCTCCCATGCACATCACAATAACATGGGCAAGAACTGGCCCAGCAAGAAACAGGACTGGACAGTGAACCCTTTCTCAACGCAAGTGCTACTTAGCAAAAAAATTCAAATGGTCATTACTAGGTTCGGATGTGGGGCGAATGGGGATGAAGACAGTTCCCTGCACTCAGCAAATGCCAGCTGAAAGCTGGTGAACTGACCATTACAGCAACATCACTGCCAGACTGCCTGCTTGCCATTTAAATTAGCTTAATGCAAAAGTAATGAGTCCCTTATAAGTCCATGAAACCACAGCCATGTTACTGTGTGGGAGGGAGATTTACAGTCATATTCACTCATCTTAGTTACAGTAGGTCGCTTTCCTCCGGTCTCCATATTGTGTACACACTCTCAGTCCTACAGACAGCATGCACAGTTTGATTGCATCTGCATTATGAGGCAAAATAGCTTTTGGCTCCACGAATCCCACTGCATAAGTGGAGTTCACCTGATCGGGGCAAGACGAGCCTGTGGCTCTCCATCGCTCCAGGCTGCCATGACAGACCTCGGCCATCTCACTGGGACTCTGGTGGTGTGGGGGCCACCCTGGAGCCTGCAACGAGCCTCCGGCAACGCTGAGGCTACCACGGCTGTGCTGCCTCGGACCAGGCTGTGCGTTCAGTGCAGCCCACCACATACGAGAGAGACTGGGACACTGGGGAACCACCAGGTTTTCCTGCTGCAAGTAGCTCACAGGACTCTTCCACTGCTCTCCAGTATGGGCTGTGCAGCTTTTGCTCTTATGAGCAGCATGATACGCAGCTCAGAGAACAAGGAAACAGTAATGCTTTTATCACTTTTATCACCTTCACATCTGTGACTAGGAAGTTAATTGCCAGATACTTGTATTCTCCTTTTCCTTTCCCACCACTCCCACCCTTGTTGCTAAGATATATTCGTCCATTGTGGAGAGCCCTTGGTTTTGTATCTCAGTACCTCATATAATTGACTGTGTGGTTTGCGAGAAAGAGGACTTCACTATTTTTAAACACACAAACAGGCTATACTCTATATCCAGTCAGACAGTTTGTATCTGAGTTTCCTTGAACCCTAACGAGAGAAGGAAAGTTCAGATCTGGTTTGACAAAGCTTTTGTCCTACTCCTCTGAGGAAGAGCACTCAGCTCAATATTGTATCTTGCTGTACAGAGCTATCTTCGGGGCTCAATCCTGCAAGGGGCTCAGCAGCTACAAGACAGAGCACCCTTTCCCCCCTTAATGACAATGCTGAGCACAACACAACCGAGCACACACCAAGCACGCACACTGACAACACAAGAGGCAATGGGCACAAACTGAAACACAGCAGGTTCTGTTTGAACATTAGGAAACACTTTTTCTACTGTGAGGGTGACTGAGCACTGGCACAGGTTGGAGTCTCCATCCTTGGAGATGTTCAAAAGCGATCTGGACAGTCCTGGGCAGACTTCTTCAGGTGACCATGCTTGAGCAGATGGGGGGATGGACCAGAGGACCTCCAGAGGTCCCTTCCAACCTCAACCATTCTGTGATTCTGTGTGTTTCTGTGAAGGTACTTGGTATCTCCAAGGACAGGAAGGGGATCTGATCAGTGCTTATCAGACAAAGCAAATATATCTGTGCTAACACTTTAGATATCCTAGGTTCGCCTAGGTTCTGTTGCTTTGTCCTTCGAATCACAATGCATGATTAAGCGCCTTTTGTATCAGTTGAAAGAGCCCAGGAAAGCCATGCAGTTGCTCTAGAGTGCCATCAATCTGTCCTCACATGGATCTGAGCCCAAGTTCTGCATTTTCAATAATGACATACATGGCAGTGAGACTCACACTGCTACCATTATGTTGCTGCATTACTTATCCATAAAATGTTACAGAAGTTCAGCACAACAGGAGAACGTGGTCCCCAAATGTCACCTTTTTTTAATCTTGCCATTAACCATATTCAATTTGTTCAACATTTTATTATTAAATTTGAGGGAGGAAAAAAATTAACCATTTTCCATATAAAGGGTGTCCTAGTTCCAAATACATCGTAATAACTATTCAAAGGTCCAAATACTCTAACAGTCACAGAAATAAGGAAACTTCCCAGTAACTTGAAAAGGCTTTGGATTGGGCTCACAATAAACACGATTATTCTGAAAAACTTTAACATTCAATCAAAGTATTTTTACTCCTGTTTCTGGAGTCCTTGTTCTTCTGCTTCAATACATCCCCAATGAGCATTAAATCTCTTAGGTGTCTTCTGTTTATGAATCTTGGATTTGTGAAGAAAGATGATACATTTATACAGTCAAAACTGACATGAATTTTTAAAGAAAATCTCCTAAACTACCAAAACTAAGTCAATGACAAAATACCTGTTGACATCTGAGGAGCACAGTTCTTGCCTGTAATAGGATGGAAGCAGACAGGCATTCAAATAAAACAAATAAACAAACCTCTATTGAAATACTGTAAGTTAAATAAACAACAGAACCTATTTGAAGTGTGAGTAAAGGTATTCAGCCCTAGAAAATAGGGCACTAGATCCTCATTGCCAGCAAAGTCACTTCTAACTTAGGCCAACAGGTGATTTGGTTCAAGTTTCAGGGTAAGAAATTTAGGCAAAGATATCCGGCAACACCAGCATCCTCTCACTAATCATACTAGAAGTACTGTCGTAAGGAGCTGCTTTGACTTGGAGGAAGAATGTGTTTCTGTGGCAACCTGTGGTTAACACTGGATAAAAGGGAGAGGAATGTTTTACCCACTAATAAGTGTAAGTAAACATTTACTGAAAAGGCATGAAATCCATGAGCATGCACACCTACCAGGTCCATGAGAAATCCATCGTAACAAATCCCTTGGCTCAGTAAGCAGAGGAAGACTGCTTAAGATGTCTCCTATGTCAATTCAAGGCAGAGTCATGCAGCAGTCAGAGCCGCTCCAGGCTTTGAAGTTTGAGATGTTGCTGAATGATGAACTGGAGGTGACAATATTCTATCATGGAAGTTTCCTACAAGAAAAGTTGTTGTATATTTATCAGCTTCTTAAGAAGAAAACTCCTGCATGGAAAAGCTCCCGCTGTATGCTGACTCCTGCTCCTAACCTAACCAAAGCAAGAGATGTTCTCCCTCTGGCTCTCCTAGTGGTTTCTGCCTCTTTTCTTGGCAGCAGCCACCCATTTCTGGCCCTATGTAACATTTTCCTTTGATGATGTGACGTCTCGATGATGAGTGTCACCACCCAGGCAAGTCCCCCAGAAAGACATAGGCAGGAAAAGGTAATGCACATGAATTTCTGTAGTTAAAAATCTCATTTAACTTCATTTCTATTGCTCACTTCACCTACATGAATCACGACTCAGAATACTTGGGGTTTTGTCTTTCTGTGTCTCCAGTTTCTTTGAGCAAATCACTTCATCTCCCTGTGCCTTGATTTTCCTAGCTGTAAACTGACAGTAACAGCATGCTTCTCACAAAAAAACCCCTTTTAAATCTATTCTACTATAACAAAACCTAAGTAATATAATCCCAAAAACTCCTCTCAGAAAAAAAAAAAGGCAAACTGAGTCCAAGAACTGACTGTAATAATGTAAGTCCATTATATTTACTATTGTTCGTTACTGCTATTAGATTTTTTAAAACAAGATTCATAACTCAAATAGGGACAAGGCAGAATCTGCAGCACAGCAGTGTGACAACTCTGCAGAAAGCAGAGCAATGGAAATTGTTATCAACTGCAGAAACAGCTGTGAAATCGCCGAGCAGCTGGGTAAAACTTATGAAGCAGTAGAGATTTATGTTGCTAATCTTATTCAACGTTCCCTTTTTATATGTGCATGATTATGGAAGATCATTTTGACAGTGAAGCAGGAGTCATAAGTGAGGATGAGAATAAGTTTGTGAGAATAAGCTCGTATAATGATAAACTTTAAGAGCTTTTTCTCTTTTTAAGTTATTTACACGATGCTAACATTTCACAAACATAGACATTTACAGGCACAAACTACTGCTGGTCTTCTCTAGATGATCCTTGGCATAAGCCTGTGACATAGCTAAAGTATATTTAGCTGATTATTGAAGTTAGCTAATAATAAGGAAGTCTCCTTACTTACCTCCTTGACTATATTCTTGTGCAAACTACCTAGCAATTAGTTTAACTTTTTGAAAAGTTTGGAGGGAAATGCAGAAAAAAAACCACTTTAGACAAATTAGGTAGATGACGTTAAAACAAAAGCAGACATCTGAATTTACCTTGCAGTTAACTTCCACTCATATTACAAGAATGGTTACATTGGTTTGAAAAGCTCTTCCTAGCGCAATTGTGCCCTCTAAGCCACTCTGCTAGCATCATTCTGTGAAAAGATTAATTGCTCTGTCAGTAATTTATTTGTATTTGTCCTTGACTACATACAGTTTGGGTAATTTTTTAAAATTAATGTCTTTATCAAAAGCCTGACTGACAGAGCAACTTCTTATAGCCAGGATTTCTTCCCTCCTCTTTCTCTCCCTCACCACAAAGCTGAGAAGCAGAAACACAT